TTATATTATATTATATTATATTATATTATATTATATTATATTATATTATATTATATTATAATTGTATTGTATTGTATTGTATTGTATTGTATTGTATTTTATTGTATTTTATTGTATTTTATTGTATTTTATTGTACTGTATTGTACTGTATTGTACTGTATTGTACTGTACTGTATTGTATTGTATTGTATTGTATTGTATTGTATTGTATTGTATTGAATTGTATTGAATTGAATTGAATTGAATTGAATTGAATTGAATTGAATTGAATTGAATTGAATTGAATTGAAATGAATTGTATTGTATTGTACTGTACTATACTGTACTGTACTGTACTGTACTGTATTCTACTGTACTATACTGTACTGTACTGTGCTGTACTGTACTGTACTGTACTGTACTGTACTGTATTGTATTATATTGCATTGTATTACATTGCATTGCATTGTATTGTATTGTATTGAATTGTATTGTATTGTATTGTATTGTATTGTATTGTATTGTATTGTATTGTATTGTATTGTATTCTATTGTATTCTATTGTATACACGAAAAGCATTATTCCGTAATTTTACTGTCGTCGAGAAAACGGCAATAATTGGCAAAGATAAAGTTTCGATGATAATTGTCCGTGCACGTACAAGAAGAATAACCACGAATGATGTTCTATATCGTTCGTGTTCGGCGGTTTTTTCGTTTTTTACTTATCGTTGAAGAAACAGCATAACAATGACGTTGACGTCGTATCGCAAATGTGCTGACAAGAGGCGACTGCTGGGTTTGTTTCTCGACCAAAAAGGCTCCACATCCAGCGACATTACACATTTCCGGTTATGCTTTAGAAAAGGAACCATGAACGTTGTCTGTTACACAAAGAACGTACTAATTTTAGGATTAAGCTCGAATAAGCGGAATGCGCATTATTCCAAAGTGACACATTTTGTGGCAATATATGTACCGTAATCGAAATACGGGACTGAAATATTTTTATTTTTGACAATGATTAGGGCCATGACAGTGACGATGACGATAATGACGACGATGCCAGAAATAGAGATAACGATTACTGGTGATTATTAATAATACTGCTAGTACTATTGCTATTACCGCTACTACTACTACTATTACTACTACTACTACTACTCCTACTATTACTACTATTACTATTACTATTACTACTACTATTACTACTACTACTACTACTACTACTATTATTACTACTACTACTAGTACTATTACTACTACTACTACTACTAGTACTACTACTACTAGTACTATTATTATTATTATTATTATTATTATTATTATTATTATTATTATTATTATTTGTTTATTATTATTTTTATTATTGTTTTATTATTATTTTTATTATTGTTTTATTATTATTTTTATTGTTATTATTATAAAAATTAATGTATTTATTATCATTTATTGCGAATCAAGTTATCGACGATCGAGAAGACAGTGGAATAATTGTAATGTAAACGTTGAATTTTTTATTTTCCACGATGAAGTCATGTGAATATACAGTCCGATCCAAATAATCAAGCTTTTGTAACATTAATTATAATAAAGAGCAACGGTGATGCTAATCGCGTAATTGTATCACATAACGGTAATTCGGATACGAAACGTTAAATGGTCGCGCATAGATGAAAGATTTGTGTGTATTGTATAAGTGAGATATGTAAGTACGCCAAAAATCTTTACAAATTCATGATCGTTTTAGTTCCATTTTTTACCTTCCTCGCGTGCTTATGTCGCTGATGTAACAGCACTGGAAATGTATGGTGTTTGTGCGAAACAGGCGCACGTGGATGATTTTTCTCTTATTCGAGGGAAAAAGTGTATGTATAGTACTCTTGAGAGATTCTCGACTCTCGCTCTGTATTGCCCACAGCGTTTTACTACGATAACGTTTCATAAACAGTGCTTAAATAATAGAAAACGAGAAAGAAATATAAGAGATATTATTATGTTGGTGGAAAGGTTATGCCAGTTTTTAATTCTAATAGATAAAATTATTTCAAATGGATGATTTTGATAAATTTTTATATTTTATGAAGGTAAATTTATATTGATGAAATATTATAATTATTAATCTTGTTTAAAATTAGAGATCAATAATAGATTAATATTAGAATTACTTGTAATGTACAGTTAGTCGCAAAAATATCTAGTTATATAAATATTCAGCATATTCTATGAAATATTGTATATTAGTAATAAAAAAATATTAGATATCAATTTTAGACATACATATATATGTATTTATCATTTCATATTACAATGATGAATTGATAATTGTTTGAGAAGAAAATAGAATGATAAAAAATTATATGTTAAAATTATGAAATATTTTTGGAACCAATTGTCAATACCTGAATTATATTATATATAGAAAGTTTAAAAATCAATGCGTTACATATTCTGAAAATGATTTATAAATAATTTATAATAATTTTAAAAAATTTTTAATTATTATTTAAACTTTCAATTAACAAATTAATTAAGCTATTGTTAAACTACTTGATTTGTTGATTTAAAAGTTAAATAATGAAGAAATTCTGAACTATATAAGTTATTTTCAAAAAATATAATTTACTTTAATTGACTTCTGAATTTTTTATATAAATTATTATAATTAAAAATAAACTATAATGAAATGAATGAAAATAAATATAATGAAAATAGATAAATATAATTAGAAGTTTATTTAAATATAATTCATCATTAAGTTCGAATAAAAGCATTTTTCTATTAATTAGTAAAAAAAAAAGAATATAAAATTATTCATTTTGGCAAGTTTTATAATTCTTAGATAATTGAATGTAAAATATTTCTATTTTCAATCATTCATATTATATGAAATAAAAAAAGTATAAATATAATTATTATTATGAAAAATATTTTCTATACTTTTGAAATAAATATTGTAAATGAATATCAGACCTGAACATATTTGAAATGATTATTTAAATAGTTTAATAATAATATTTCAAAATGATATAAATAATATAAATGATATAATTATTTAACAATATTTCAAATAATGTTATTTTCATAAATGTTCATAATTGTAATAGAAATATTATCAGATTTTCATTTGTATTTTACAAATATATATTAATATAATTATATTATTTTCAATTTTCATTTATATAATTATGCAATATCACAACTTCTATTTCAGATTATTTTTGATTTTTTATTTCTTTTGTTTAAATAATGATATAAAATAAAAATATCTTAATTTATTTTATTAATTATTTCAATTTCAAATAAAATTTCAAAGTGGAAAATAAATCTTACAAATAATTTGACAAATTATTTAAAGTTAATAATAAAATTATTTAATAATAATAAAATTATTAAAAAAAATTGACTAATAGATTACACAATAATTAATTAATATGAATTAATATTATTATATCAAATTGATTTATGTTTATATTCACAAAATCGAAGCATCACTCTTCCACCAATGTAACATTTTTCCACGTGTGTGTATAAGTCTATTATATTCGCACAATGCGAACAGTGCCGAAAGAAGTCGGTGAACCGTGATTCCTTGTAATTTCGTCCAGCTCCACGAGCCAAAAGCATAATATCTTTCGGGACACATCGCTTTTTGCCTGCTTTTTTCCTTCTTCTTCTCTCATTGAATCGAATTCCATTCGACAAAACATAGAGATGTGACGCGAAGAGAGAAACAATAATCGAAAAGAAAATCGAAAGAGAGAAAAGAAAAAAAATAAAATGACGGACCCCGAAAATCCTCAGGGATTAATGTAACGTGGCATACGTGATACATTTCTTTTCCTATTTTCGCGATTTCTATCGCGATCGGAATTTTTAAAGATTTTTGAGTGTATAAGCTTGTTAAGAAAAAGACCGAGCGGAAATTAAACTTGTTGTGATGTAAGCCAGAAAATGAATCTATAGTAAAGGGGCGAAAGAAAATGCTTTGCGTAAAAAAAAAAAAAAACAAGAACGAGATTGCCAGGTCTCGAGGGAACGCGGTCGCTTCGAGATATATCGAGATCGTGCGATTCCCGTCATTTGGAAGTTTTTCATAGAAATAGATATTATAGATAAATTGAGACAGAATTTTTAGATTCAAATCTGAAAGTTCGTGAAATCTTTCGAAATTTTTGAAACTCAAAACTCTTGAAACATTTTTTTTTTTTTATAAATCATATCTATTTCATCAAGAACATATTTTGATTTTTGAAACTTTTTCATCAATATTTATACTTGTTTGCAAGAAAATTAAATTTTTAATAATGAAAATGAATCTGAAATCCAAATTTAATTAAATTATTAATGATTAAATAAAAATAAATTTATATGTTTATGTATATATATATTCATAAATTATTGAATACAAATTATTTAGGTTTCAAGACTTTCGATTCACGAAAATAAAAAATTTTTGAAAACTCGAAGTTTCGAGATTTTTTCGAAGTTTCGAGATTTCAAATGACCCAATCTTAATAATGTATCTGAATCGAATAGATACGATATACTATCAAGTGTGTCGAAAATGTGTTTTTTTTTATTTCGTCCATAGTTGGACGAATTATACGTAGTCGATAGGATAATCAATAACGATAAAGCGCTCTAATCATTTATGATAATAATACGATAGCAATAGCAGTAGATGTATTAATTCTTACGGTCCGATGGCTGAGTCATTTCATGACCCGGTCGATACAGTGATCGGCGATAATGTTAATTAAATAAGTTTGATGTAGGTCACTGTTGACGCAGCCATCGTACTTTGCGTAGTTCGAGGATTAACGGATATAATAAAAGACGAGCGCTAGACGAAAGAAAATAATACCCGTTAAAACAATTTTTAATAGGGTAGTAGATGAAATCGAAAGAGCCATTTCTCATGGAGGGAGATAATCATATTATACACGGGAAACGACGTCATTGAACGCGATACCCTCGTATACGATCTTTGCACATCCAGCAAGAAAAACTTGGAGCGACCTTAGAACGCGCAATATCGGTAATCAGAGACGACAAAAACATATAAAATGTCGAATTAAATAAAAAAAACGAAAAAGAAAAAAAAAGCAACCAGCCGACAAAGGGAAATCGTAATAATCACAATAATGATAACAATAATAATAATAATAATGATAACGATTAAACGATAATGAACGTTTAGTATTAACTCTAATGCTAATACTATGAATAATGATAACGATAACGATTACTACTAATTACTCTACTATTACTAACGGTAAAAAAAAAAAGGTAATACTGATAAAAAGAGTAATAATAAAAATAAAATGAATAATAATAATGATAATAATAATTAATAATAATATTGCTATTAATAATAATTAATAATAATTATAGTGATAATTTAATAAACGATAATCGTGTCCATTGCCTGTCGCGAGAGGAAAACGATGCATAAAAATAAACCGGGTACCTACAAAGTGACGTGCCTTTGAGACTCTACGAAGTTCCGTCCGTGGGACTTCCGGTTCCGCGGATGTGACCGTGTATTGCGCGTTTCGAGGGAAACTCGAGTCCTTCGGCAATCGCGATCGCTCGATCTTTAAGACATCTGGCAACGAACCTTCCGAGTTTCGAGTCGTGGACCTACCACCTATAGATCGTAGATAGGCAACGCAAGCGATTACCGAAAAGCGAAAATAATAGGGGAAAGAAAGTGAAATTGGCGTGTCTGTATGTAAGTGAAAAAGAGAGAGAGAAAAGTAAAATGTTAGACGAAGAATGAGAGAGATATAATGATATAATCTGGGAAATGATAAGGAAAATAATAATCGATGATTACGAATGAATAATATCCTTTTTGTTAAATACGATAAAGGAGGCATATAGAGAAAGAGGCATAAGATAAATTGTATTTTGAAACGATTTAATCGATGGGCGGGGCTAGGAAAAGAGTAACAGAAAATAAAAAAAAAAATAAGAAAAATAAACAATGTCCATGTTGCTAAATATATTAGCGGTGAGGTAGTTTGCATATAGCGACGTGTTAGTTTATATATATAGTCTTTAGTGCGAAATAAATCGAGTGCAATGAGAAAAAAACACTGTCATATGGTATATAAAAATGAGAGAGAGAGAAAGAGAGAGAGAGAGAAAGCGAGTTGAAGAGAGCGTGAGACTAATCGCGAAAGAGAATACGAACGAAAAGCATCGCGTGGAAAATGCGCTAATATATTACATTGGAAAAATATCGAGAAAAACACCATATACGAAATACACATACATATATATACATATACACAAACACAAAGGACGTAAATAAGTGGGCATATATATAATGAAGTACGAAGAGGAAAACTATAGCGAAAAACGAGAGAAAGAGAAAGAGAGAGAGAGGGAGTAAGTAATGGGCAAAGATAAAGGGAGATGCGGCGAAAACACACGAGACACACGAAGCATAGTAGATACGTAGATTAAAATTAGGCATAGAATTTTAGGTGAAGTTATCGAGCCCGTTCCTTCGTATTAGATATGGTAGTATTAGATATGCCAGGTACGCCTCGAAACGAGGACACGTGGACTGTGTGTATATACCTAGTGTCTAGGTAGAAAAGATCCTTTTGTTTCTCGTCGAGCAAGAAGGGGAAAAGAAAGAAGGAAAAGGAAGATGTAAAGGAAGAAATCGCTTCCTCGAGCTGTTCGTTCTCCTCAAACCTATTCCATGCTGCGTTTCGTTCGCGACTTTTTCCAAATCGATCTTTCTCGTCCGCGAGACGAAAGCGCAGACGAAAGTCGAGTTTTCGGAGCAATAAAAAGATAAAGGAAAAGGAATAAAAAGAAAGAGAAGAAAAGATATGATAGAAATGCGTTCGGAATCCATGGCGAATCGATATCGCGTAGCGTCAATTCGAAGAAGCAGCATTGATTCAACGATGGAAAGAAAAATAGCGAATATCGTAATTGGAACGCACAATGGAAGAAGAAAAAAAAGAAGAGAGAAGTCAACGGAGCGGTGAACGAAAAATAACGAAAAAGAAGAGTGAAAAAAAAGTTCGTGCCCATTGTAATCGCGCATAAATTATTATAAATATAAAAAGCATTGATATTGTCGAGTATACCTCTTCTGTACATATAGTGAACGGCAAACAAAAATAACGCGTAACGGTTCAGTTGCAATCATATTGGATAATATGGGAAAACAGCGAGCACGAGTTTGAGTGTTGTGTATCGTCCTTTCTTTTTTTTTTTTCTGCGAACGATGGCGAATCGATCGATTCGATTGCGAATTACCAACAACAGGTATATAACTGTAATGTAATTATATTATGATGTACGATGTAACGGTATAATACCGACGGTACCGTAATATACATATTATAAATACAATTTCATAGAACACGAAGGATCGTTATAGCGAAGACGAGCGAGGTGATTTTCTATTATTGCTATGATTATTAACATTACCATTATATATATATAATATATATATCTCGTCATTACGGTTTCTTACGATGATCGCTG